TTATTTTAACATCGAAAGCACCTTCCGAAATTAATTTAAAGATTTCACAGAGTTGTGAATCATCACTGGCGAAAGAATTTGGGGGATTGTAGATACAGCCAATAATTGCCTTTCTTTGCGGCGAGAGGATAACAGATGCAAAGCAGAAGTTTCCCGTGAATGAGGAAACATCCAAGTAATAGGGAGAGTGCTTTAGGTAGGATTTAAGATAAAGAAGACAACCACCCCCACGCCTAGTCGTGCGGTCTTGGCGGTAAAAATCGAAGTCATCTATGAGAAGGGTAGAGTCAGGAATTAGAGAATGTGTCCAAGATTCTGTTACACATATAATATCAGGCGTCAATTCCAGAGCAATGGCTCTGATTTGGGCCATCTTGTTTATAACAGACCTGGCATTCAACAATATAATATCTAATGTGTTTCGAACGGCAATGCTATTTTCGACGGTATTTAAAAAAAATTTGGAGGCGGATATGTAAGCTGCGAATTAATGACACTTGGAGAATAAGTACCAGTTAATTTAGAGTTATTGACGTACGGGGAGACAGCCAGAGAAGGCTGAGTATGAGACCTAAAGGAGGTGGGGACATAGTTTTCAAACATTGGAATGCTAGGGGAGTTAGAACATGGATAGACTTGTTGGTAGTTAAATAATGGAGGAAGGGAAGGAGGAGGGAGGCTAGAAGGAAAGAAGGGGCTAATGGGTGAGGGTAGGCCACTAAAAGAATGAAATGGTGGGAAACCAGGTCTAGATTGGAAGTCAAGGGAGATAGGTTGACGTACCTGAGAGCAATTGGCCTTAAGTGGTGGGCAGCCTGAACTAGGTTGGGGCATAAATGATTTAGAGCAATTAATGCATGAATTATTTGCTGGATCTATAGTAGGGCTTTGATAAGTAACCGGTACGCAGGACAGAGAATTATTCGAGGATATAATTGGAGCTGCGGGGTTTGTAGACGTGCTGGGCTGAACAGACTTGTTAGATCTAAGGGAAGGCGTCGTACCCCTAAACGGAACTGTACTACCTATCTTTTGGGTCGGAGTCTGATTCAATTTTCGAGTCTCACCGTTCTGACGCCAAGCCACTGGTGACTTAGCTGTAGACCTTACAGCACCCAGTTGGACAATAGAAGTTATCGGTCTAGCTGATGTAGACGGATTTTCATGTGTCTCAGCGGGACTATCCGGAGGATACGAAAGGAAAAATGGGGCTGCTGCTGCTGCTGCTGCAAGTTTAGGGGCAGGCAAATGCGTCAAGTGGCTTGAGTGAGATGGAGATGTAGGAGAAAGAGGAAGGATGGAGTCAGATGTCGCAGGAGTAGGAGAAGCTGAATCCTTACGGCCACTTGTATTATGACCGAGTTGGGGAGCATAAGACTGAGAAGCAGTAGGTTTACGTGAGAATAGAGACCCTATTCTACGCTCCATAGGAGTAAGATCATGACAAAGGAAAAATTTTGCCTTCTCTAGGTACGCAGTGACACGCTCTCGATGAGTAAAGATTGTGTCAACTTCGATTGATGAAAACAATTTGACTAAGATGGGTGGATTTGTACTACGGGAGGACAAGCATTTGGCATCAGCTATTTTATAGTTGAAACCACATGAATACAGAAAACTGGTCGCAACATCAATTGGCCGAGCAGATCGAGGAACATTTTTTAGCAGGAAGTTGTAAGAACGCTTCTGTCTATCACTAGATTCACTGGCGATCAGGTGAACAAGTGAGTCGAGACGCCTACATTCTTCAGAGGGAATATCGGAGATGTTCCCGTCGAATAAATGTCCAAGAATTGTCAGCAAAGAGCCAAACTTTAGCATAAATTCATTGCAGTGGTCAAGTGCAGACAGATTAAGCTGCCGACCAATTACAACGGGTGACGACTGACTAGTAATATCATCTGACTTAGATTTAGGTAAAGCTTCTGACTTACGTTTAGTTAGGCCATGTTTACTTACGAGAGCCGAGAGCTTACGTCGACCAGTGACTTTTGGTCTCATCTTGTCTCGAGGCAATTTGTGATTAAGAAAAATTCTGGCAGACAAGTTGACTGAATTTCAGCTAGGGGCTAACGATGTAAAATAAATTACAACAATGAGAGAGAAATCGGATTCACAAAATGAGAATTGCAAAATGCGATTAGTGAACAACGGGCATAGACTAGCAAAACTCGAAAGGAGATGGCAGCAGGCAGTTCTTAGAGAAAAGGCCTGTATTTAAGGAAATTCAAGCAAATAAACAGGTACTAAAATCGTTAGATCTCACAGAAAAACCACTTAAATTGAGGCGCGCGTTTCGAATTTGGTTTCAAATGTTCGCTCTCCGAGGAATTTAGTTACTTCGAGATTTGGACTTACTGTACGCTCTTAGAGCTTGCCGGAATTTAGACTTGAATTCGGCTCATCAATATCTTCCTCCCAACTAGTCTCCTGCAGCACATTCCCAGAACTCCGATTTCGGCCGTCCTCGTTTCTCATACTTGCAAGCCCAGAAAGTCGGATTATCTGAAGAACAATTTATCCAAAGTTTCTACAAAGGCTGAGTCGCTTTTCTACTATTAGACATTGTTTCATCATCGCCTCAAAGTATTTGTCTAAATTTTTGCCCTCGGAAGCTTCTCGACCATACCTTCCCATTCAGCTAATGAAGTTACTATCTACCGAAAGGTCGTCATAAAGGCCTTTCCTTCATACTTAAGTCTACGCTCTTTGTGTATATAGAAAAGTTATCCAGAATGTTGGAGTCTGCACTAGTGTTCCAAAGTAACGCGCACTTGGGATTTGAACCGGGGACCTCAAAACTTAGAGC